TCCCGCTTGCTGGCTGCCCTAGCTAAAGAGCTGCTGCCGGTTTCTAAGAGGACACACACCCCTCTTGGCCACTTGGAGCTTTTCTAAGCATGTTACGTGCAGATGCTCTTAATTCATAAGTCTCCTCTATGTGAGAACAACACACCATTGAAGATTTCTCACCCCTCTTTCATTAGGAGAAGGGATATTTAGCAGAAGTCATTCCAAGGCACACATTTCACTCCCCCCACTCTAACCCAATGCGGCCGCAAAGGCCAGAGGGAAACCCTGCTCACCTCGTCAAAGACGGCGCGAGTGACGTCTCCGCAGCGCAGTGTGCCATCAAAGCTGAGGGACAGGAGGTGGGCAGGGGTCACCGGAGAAAAATGCAGGCAGCCGACTGCCCGGCGGTGGGGAAGAAAGGCATGCACGCTGTCTTCTAGTAGGCAGTCCTGCAAAATGCAAAAAGGCGCAGCATGACACACTTCTGTCTCTGTCTCTCTTGAAGCTGTGTAGCAGGCCGGCCACCGCCGCCACTGCACACACCGCCAGGGAGCTTGCTGCCCAGCCAGGCAGGCCCTCCAGAGGATAAAGCAGCCCCTCACCACATTCCACAGGCCCACGTGCCCCTCCTTGTCTCCAGCCGCCACCAAAGTGCTGCTTTCAGACGGATGGACGGCCACGGAGTAAACGCGGGAGTGGACCACTTTGGCGACCGCATCTTCTTGCAAGCCCATGCCACGCAGACTGGCTTTGTAACTAGGCCAAAACAAACCGCACGTGAGCCGCCACAGAACTACGCAAGGGCCCACTCCAAACAAAGAGGCAGAAAGCCGTTTTCCAAAGTTACCTCTCCAAGTTAGGCAGAGACATCTCAGCCTTCTGGTGCTTGACCTAGAGGATGGATGGATGAAGACGTTTTACTAGGATTAAATTCTCACGCTCTCGACAGGTTAAGCGAAGGAGCTCGAACAGTACCTGGCTTATTTTCGCCCATCCGCTCAGAAATTCTTCCGTCAATTCGGGTCTCTCCTCTTGGGCGGCGGGAATCATCTGAATGGGACCCGGGGGTGGCAAGTGACGCTTTCAAAAGAGGAAGCAGGAAAGACGGTCACTGGCTGGCTCGGTCCATCAGTGCCTGCCCACCTCAAACCGGGCAACGGGGCCACTGGATTCCTCCCACACCCCAGTCCCCTCCCCTTGACGCAGGATCACTTCTGAAGAGTCGGCGTCTCCAAACTTGAAGGAAGCAACTATGTTTGTGCAACAAGGACAGAGCGGGCGCCAGAGTGGCCTGGCTGGACCACACCAAAAGTCCAGCATCCTGTTTCCTAACCAGAGGCTTCTGGAAAGCCCACAAGCAGCAGGCATCTCCTGCTGCCTGAAGAAGGACTTCCTTTGGCCAGACCTGAATCTCATGAGAACATGAGAGAGAAGCCAATGTTGGATCAGGCCAGTGGCCCCTCCAGGGGCCATCAGGAGGTCCAGCAGTGGGGCCAGGACACTAGAAGCCCCTCCCACTGTTCCCCCCCCCCCAAGCACCAAGAAGACAGAGCATCCCTTGCCCCAGACAGAGAGTTCCTATAAGAACACAACAGAAGCCATTGTTGGATCAGGCCAATGGCCCATCCAGTCAAACACTCCGTCACATAGTGGCCAAAAATACCAGGTGCCCTCAGGAGGTCCAGCAGTGGGGCCAGGACATTAGAAGCCCTCCCACTGTTGACCCCCCCCAAGCACCAAGAAGACAGAGCATCCCTTGCCCCAGCCTGAGAGTTCCTATCGATACTTTGTGGCTAAGAGCCACTGATGGACTTCTGCTCCATATGCTTATCGAACTCTCTCTTGAAGCTGTCCATGCATCTCCTGGCAATCCGTTGTATTGGGAGACCCCACGTTTTCGTAGGCGGAAAACGTCTGATGAACTTCCTCAGCACCCTTGCATGCTGTACAAGCCTCTGTTACCTCTCCCTTTAGCCCCTCTTCTTTCTAAAACTGTGCTGCATTTCTGTTAACAGAACTGCTCAGATTTCCAGCCTTTTCTGAAATAAGGTGTCGAGATCCGGGCACAGTGCTCCAAAGGTGGACGCGCCACCACTGCCCTGGGCCCCAGTTCTAGCGCTCGGGCAGGCATTCTGAAGCGTGGCCAGTTTACCACCCTCATCAAGGAAATTCCCCCGTGCCTGCTGGGGCAAACTGTTTTGATCTTACAACAAAGCATCTAGGTGCAAAACGACAAAATGCTGACAAGGCCAGCTGTCTTAACCAGTGTTCCCTCTAAGCTGAGTTAGTGTGAGCTAGCTCACAGTTTTTTTAGCCTCCAGCTCACACATTTTTGTCTTGGCTCAGGAAGGTTGGCTCCAGAGCAAACTCATTGATACAGTAGCCAAATTGCTCGCTCACAACTTTAATGCCAGTAACTCACAAAGTAGAATTTTTGCTCACGAGACTCCACAGCTTAGAGGGAGCATTGGTCAACTAGCGCTGCTGCTCTTGTGAAAATAGATGGTTTAAAGACCGGCAATTCTTCTCTTTGCGTTTGCCATCTTACCTGCTCTTCAACTGGAAGTTCTCCTGGAACTTGCTTCTCCGGAAGGGGAACTCCCAGAGGATCCACTCCCTGCAAGCGCTTGGACCTCCGAAGGGTTCGTTCCACTTCCACCTTTGTATGCTTAACCCTACGGAGAACAGAATTCCAGTCCCAGGGTCTGGGCTGCAAGATCAGATCTCTCACATCCGTGCCGATACAAATGCAGCCGACACTGCGCTACATTCTCACTGATCCTCCAGCCCCCGATCTGGTTTTTGGGTATACCCAGAATCAAATTTTGTTGGTCTTAAAGGTGCCACAACTGGACTCAAACTTTGTTCTGTCGCTTCAGACCCACATGGCAGCCCCACCTGAGATCTGGATGGATTTATTTTTTAAAAACATGTATCTCCCCCCTGCCCGAGCCTTCCTCAAGTTTGCTCGCCAAGTGAAAACAATATCGCAAGATCGTAAACACAATAGAATAGAAATTATCAATAAATAACAAATATCAATAAGTAACGAACCACAAAAAACAAGTAGGGCCAGACACAAAGTGCAAAAATGATTCAGCAGCCCAAAACGACAGTCATAAAACAGCTCCCAGGCTAGAAGCAGACGATAAAAACAGCTTTAAAAGACACAGGACCAAACCACACGGTTAAAAAACAGGGTAAAAAGAAATGTTTTGGCCCAGCTTCCGGAAAGTAAGACAGGTACTAGGCAAACATTGAGCAGGAAGGCAATCCACCACTGAAAAAGCCCTGCCTCTGGCCAACGCCCCCCCCCCCCCCAGCCTGGCCTCTGTGGACAAAAGGACTCGGGAAGAGGAGCTTAACTGGTGGGGTTGGCAGGAGGGGAGGAAACCCTGTTTTCTTCCGTGGACCGAGGATCAGCTTATTGGCCCTCATGCAGCCCACCCCCTTCTCCAGGCCCCCGCTGACTTGTGCAACTTAAAGAGAAACCGAGCCAGGGGCCCACCTCTCTCCTGGCAGAGAGCAGGTGAACTTCCGAGTTATTTCCACTCCCCCCTTTGCTGCAGATTTGAGTCCCAACCTTCTATTACAGCCCCTGCAAGTTTTACACGTCTGAACATTGAGCCCGTTACCGTGGATGCCGTGGGATTTAAGGCAGGCCCCCCTCCCCCCTTTCAGACACCTTACCCTTAAATTCCACGGCATTTTCACGACCACCAAATAGGGACTTTGGGGAGATATCTTCATTCTGCTCTTTACAGGTGAGCACCATCACATCTGACAGGCAACAGATATCCACCCCACTGAAGTCAAAGATCAGCAGATGTCTGTTACAAGCGGGTCAGGAAAACATCTTGGGTGGAAAAATTCCCACTGGCACAACGACGTTTGGGTTCAGTTTCCAGAAATAGCTCGTTAGGTAGCTCTACGGCACCGTCTTGGGCAGAGTGGCGCCCTTCTGAGACCGCTGAGGACAATTCACAATTTAAAACGGGGGGGAAAAAGAAAACGGCCAAAATCCGACCGTGCTGAATGCGTGCAGGATCTTACCTTTTTATCCCCTGAGGCTGAGCTTTGGTCGTTGTTTTACGAAGTTTTGCTGCAGACTTATAAGGGGGGGGGGGGAGAAAGAGGTTTATAGCAATTAGGCAGGTTCTTTTTTACAAACACAAGATTTGTCTGGTCCATAATTTTTCTTGTTCTAGATTCAGCAAGCGGGATTAGCCTTTCTGTCGCTGTAGCTCAGATCTCTGGTGGCCCTCCAGTTTAAAACACTGCTTTGGACTGAGACTCCGCTCTCCTTAGCGTGCTCTTTCGGTAACCCCTGAGAAAGGTGTAAGGAACTCTGTGTTTCGGCTGATTTATACTGCACGCACTCCTTACCGCTGTCAGCCACCTCTGAGTATGTAAACCCACCGACATTTACTTTCGGAGGTAACACCCCTGTGGCCCAGCTGTGACATTCCAAGAGGCGTAAGTAAGGCTGCAGCACTGATGTGCCGGCACAGAGGAAGGCCGATTTCTTAACATCAATACAGCAACCTCTCGTTCTTACCTGGGGGACAGTGGGTATCCACGGTTTGTCTCTATGGGTTCAAAAGTTGCCCTGCTTCAACTGGGACTCATAAGCTGCCCTGTCATAAGCCCTGACCAAAGGTGGGGTGCTAATATCTTAATTACAGTAAAAAGCCAACGAAGCACCAACATACTTCAAACAGCTTCAACGAGGCAAAGAATTTGGCATTTTCTTTGACGTTCTTCAGCCGCTTCCTTTCGTAAGCTGAAAGCGGTGTGGACTCCTCCTCCTAAAACGAACGTCGGAAAGAGCAAGAGTGTTACAAGCCTGGCTTTTTGTGCCACCCTAAGCAGCCGACCTCAGGCAAGACGCTGCCCTCACCCCACACAAGGCGTCCTCGTCCTCTCTGTCCTCTCCTTCACTGCTGTCGCGCGCCGTGTCACTGCTGGCCCGAGAACGTAGGCGAAAGCCTCCCGCGGCTGGAGCGGGAAAAGCCGGTGGAGGAGCAGCGGCCTTTGGGCTCGGCTGGCCGGAGGCCTTTGGGGCTGGCGCTGCTTTGCCGGAATTCCCTTCGCAGTGGGCAAAGGCCTCCAGCAGAGACTTCTGCTGCCAGTGCCCGCTCATGTCTCTTCCCGTCGCAGACACGGGAGTGAGCGCGACTCTCACTTGCTTAGCCAAAGCCTTGCCTTGCGCTGGGCTTCCGGGCAGAGGTGGGCACGGGTCTGCATCCGATGTTGTCACCTGCACAAATGTAAAGAGGGGGAAAAATCTGCTTTGCCCGGACGTGTGAGACAACCGCTTGCAACTGCGGCACCGTCTGGCGGCACCAGCGTCTTCCCGGCACTTCCCCTGCCCTGCCCTGCCCTCCCCTCCCCAGTTGCATAACACCGGCAGGCGGCCCCTCCCTTCAGGAGCTGCGGCGCGTCGTCAGCTGGGCTGGAGTCCAGGAGCCCCTCTGAGGGACCAAGAGGGGTCTGGGGGGGGCTCCTTCTCTCCGGGGGCCTTCGGGCTCCCTCCGCTCCTGTCTGGCAAGCCGCCGCCTCCTCCGGCGAGGGGGTGGGGTGGGGTGGGGGGGCAGGCTTGCCCCGAGCGACCCCTTCCTCCCTCCGCGCCCAGCAGCGAAGCGGGCCCGACCGGCTCCTCGCAGCCCCCCCCCCCCCCCCGAGACCACCGCGGGGGGGGCCCCCCCCCC